ACAGACACAGCTCAGAGTGCCACAGACACAGCTCAGAGTGCCACAGAGCAAAAGAATTGCAAGTAATCTGCTTTTGCACATTAAAACATTAATCTCCCCACAGGGGGCAACTTCAGCCATTTCTTTGCAAATGTCTTCTTCAAGGATTCATTTGGGTACAGGCAGAGGCTTCCTATCCATTAATTCAAAGGACATGCACATACACATTCCCTTGTGTTTTCAATGAATGATGATAGGGAACATTCAAATTCTTCTGTTTCCAGAACGCTTTTTTTTTTCCTTCCTCTTCTTCTTAAGATTAAGCATCTGTGTTGAACCTCACCAGTGAGCTCAGTAAACAGATCTGCAACGGCCATGCAATGAGAGTTCACAACAGCCTTCCATTAGAGGATCCATCATAGGACGGAATTGGTCCATGCATATCCTAATGAAGACTTGCCACCTGAGGTGTGCTCATTTTTTTCCAAATACATTGTTCTTGCAGTGTAGCTGAATTCCCACAGTATCTGCATTATAAGTATCCATGGCACAAATAAACCCTTAACAGCATTGTTGCCATCTGGGGTAAACAAAGCCTTCTTAAAAATAAAATGAATTTCGTGCTCAATATGTATCTTCTAAGACAGCAGGAGGGGAAGACAACACAGCACATACAGTGGCTGTTCTGCATTTAGCCACCAACATCTATAGAGAGCTTCAGCCAGTGCCTTTAATGGAATTTAACATTTATTTCTACTTATGTGGAATGTTCAGAGTTGAAAATTCAGCAATGAGTCGAGTTTTTAAGCGTGCCCAATGCTCATAAAATGACCGTGTAAATAAAGCAGATTGGATTCCAAAGCTCTGGTGGACAGCACAGCAGATGTTTCCTTCAACTATGATGGTTTTTTAGGCCATGAAACAAAATTTGGCCTAGAATGATCAAAGTGAATGATTAAAGGCTTCCAACTGCTGAATAATTTTATGCTCATAATCACCACAGAATCTCCAGTTATCAGATTTGTCCTCAACGGAGTGATTCCAGTCAAACTTCAACAAGCATTTTCATAACCTGAAGTAGAGAGCTAATCCTACAGTTGAGTATTGTTTTAGCGAGACTCGCTCATGGATGAGAGGATGGGACCGATCACTATGTCAGTTCACTAACAACAGTAAAGCCTGCCCTGCTTCTGCCCCCCTGGCCACAAGCCTTGAGGGACTGGTGGCAGAAGGGTAAGTACTTTCTTGCTTGATGGAATTTCATTGAAGAAGGCTGAACTCTGAACTTTGTACTTACTTCCACTACTGGATGATTGGAATTCACCCAGAAGCCTCCATCTATCAGTTCCTTCATATGCATCTGAAACATGATAAACTACCTCTCTGTGCATCAAGTCTCTCCCCTGAAAGGACAGGGCATCTATACTTGGATCACACAACTGTGGGGAAAAGAATCAGTGTGTGACTAAGGATGTCAAACCAACATGAGCTTATATAATTTTCATCAAAATGGACTGTTCTGTTTTGTGTGTCCTTGTGAATATATTTCTTTTTCCGTTTGTGTATCTCAACTTTCTATTGTTCTTTCTCATGACTGCAACAAAAGAGAAGAAGAATCCTTCAAACTACTCATCCTCACCAGGACAGGAGTTGGCCCTATCACTCTTATGCAAATACCTTGCAAGTCTTTGTCAAAGTACACTGCCAAAGTGTGATGAGAATTTTACCACCTTGCACATGCTCTGGTGCTCGGACAATGAAAGTCCTATAGGAAAGCAGAGCATACTCAGAGCAATGTGATAAGCAAATTCCTGGTGACATAAGGTAGGCCCTGAGCAAGTGTTATTGCCCTCTTCCCATTTCTTCTGTTCTCTCTCCAGCTCCTTTAAAACCATACACATGAGAGAGTGTACTCATGCACACAGAGTGACTCTTCCAGTATCAAATTCTCCTTGAAATAATAAGAATTTACTAATAAGTCAAGTCTATCTAGATCTTTAGCTCCACTGTTAGACCAGATATGTGATTTTCCTTGAGTAAAATAATCTTACTGTATAGATCATTCATTTGTCAAAATGATATTGAGACTATTATATACAATGAGTTCTGATGTCATTAGACTCAACGATTACCTGAGTTTCAACTCAAAGTAACGATACCAAAAGTAAATAAAGACTCCCAATAAAGGAATGAAAACTGTGATATGTAATTTCAACCTTGAATTTGATTGGCTAAAGGTATACCCTGGACATTCCTGAGGCACTTCTGGGTACTTCTGTGAGGGTTTTTCCAGAGATGAACTGTATATGGATGTCATCATTCCACAGACAAAGGTCCTGGACTGAATCAATGCTGTCCTCTGTGTGGCACCAGGATTGAAAACACGAGTGTCAAAGCAAGCTGTTGTTCTTGATAGGATCTGCCCAGGGAGCTCTTCTGCGTCAGGCCTTGCCTCAACAGCCCACACAACCTGCCTGTGGAAATTTTGACATCAAATAATAACTGAAAGAACTGCCCCCTTCTGTGTAAAATCATGGGAACCTAGGGAATGTTTTTGAAGGTCCCATCATATTTTTCTGCCTAAGGGGAAAAAGTCACCTACTACACTATTACTCATATTACAACTTTAATTTGAATGCCATCTAGGTTTAGCTAAGCTTGAAAATACATTTTTGATGTTATTATTAAACTCCTGTAAAATCTCTTTATTTGTGATTTTATCACAATCCACTCAAGTCATTTTTTTTTAAATACACAGGGAATAAATGATGAATAAATTAGTGTAAGTACATAAATAAAAATACCCAGTTTCTGACAGGAAAGGACAACAAGGCCAGGGTGACTTCTCTAAAGTGATTATTATTCATAGAATGTTCGAGTTACACTACCCTGTCTCCATAAAGCTCTCTTTTCACCTGACCACAGGAGACTGTTGAAAGACTGCAGCCTACCACTCCCCCTCCACTTTCCAAATGTGTTTGTGGAGTTGTTACCCAGCAATACCATTTGTCTGGATCCCTCCTGCCTTTAGCACTGGTGCACCTCAGAGCCGAGTGAATCAATACGTTGTTCACCAGAAAATAGAATGTGGATATAGAGACTCAGGAAAGTCCTGCTGAACTGAGACTGAATTTTCACTAACTGTTTTATTGTAAATAATTTTTATATGAACCAGTATGCTAGAAGAAAACAAACTTATCAATATGAGTTTATCCTTTTTTTCTCTTTCTTTTTTTACATGTATATGTGTGGGGAAATATAATAGGGGGCCCGCTGTGGAATCCCAGTGGGTTTCCACGATGCGGCAGGTCCCACATGTAGGAGGAACGTCTAATGTTCCAGCAGCCTGGAGGCTTTGGCGGTGGCAGGCCCCAATGACGCGAGGGAGTCCTTGGTTCCAAAAGGGTTTATTGTCATGGTGAATGGTAGATAGATCTGGTTGTACCCCCGTAAAACTCAGGCCAGTCACGAGTTAAATAGGGAGGGAGAAAGGGGGAGGATTGGGGGAGGATCTGGGGAGGATCTGGGGAGGCATGCTTAATTTGCTCCACCCTCTGGCCTTCATTAGTATGTAAATCCCTAGGGCCTGAGGCCTCTAGTCACGCCCTCTACCTGTGCACTTTGGGAGGGACTGTAATGGCTGGCCTACATGACTGAACAATGTAATTCTATGGAGACTAGACTACTTTTCAGGACCCTGGGTTCTGGGGGCGAGCCGAACTCCTGCTGGTTCTCACACAGAGTCTAGGGGTTCTAGGCAACTGCCCAACCATGACCCAGAATACCCTTCCGCAGTCCCACATATATGTATGTAAAATGCATGCATATGTAGATGATGTGTAGGGCTTGTGCAGGTGTTTGTGGAGCCATAGGTTGACATTGGATGTCTTCCTTGTTTGCTCTCCACTGTATATAATGAGACAGGGTCTCTCCCTTGAACACCAAACTCGCTGATTCAGCTGGTTTAACCAGCTAGCTTGCTTTTTGTACATGAGAACTCAAATAAATGAGTGATTTAAAACACTAGTGCGCTGTCTTTGGTTGACAGCATCCTCGGTTCCTCTTGCACATTCTTCTCAGCATCACATCACCAAGACCTTCTGCCAAAGAACTTTAGACAAAGTGGGAGAGAAACTCCCTTGAGGCTTTGGGAGAATTTTCATCTCTGCTTCAAACACACAAGCAAATATAAGCATTCAAAACAGCAAATGATCAGAAGCCAGTTAGAAACCCTTCTTCACCTGTTGCCGGGTTCAATTACCTAGCCCATGTATGTCAGTAGAATCTGACCTAGCAACCCCCCTGTGCAGAAGCCATTGAAGTTTTTAAAAGGCAGATAAAGCTGATTGTTGCACAACACCAAAGTTCATGATCAGAATGGCAGTTCCATCCCATAAACAATCCCCATTGCACAGAGCAGCTATCCTTAAAATAACATGACTACAGGTGTAGGCATGGCACAGTCCTGAAGGCCCCTTGAAAAAAAAACACTTGCCTGAGACTAGCCAAGCAGACAGAGTCCTTTCAGAGAGGAAAAAAAAAAAAAATGGAGATGACTCCTGTTGAGAAA